CCTGCTCCGCGGGAAGCCTGCTTCTCCCTCTCCCATTCCCCCTGCTTGTATTCCCTCTCTCGCTGTGTCTCTGTCAAATAAATAAATAAAATCTTTAAAAAAAAAAAAAAAAAGAAATCCTACAATGTAAAGCGACAAATCACACTTCAGCCCCATGGCCAAAAGCTGGCTTATGTAAGGGGACCATTGGGCCTGTGGAACATTTTAATAGAATCTTATTCATGATACTATTAATCATACTGAATTAAAAATATTCTGAGCTATTATCACCTTAAAAAACGTAGCCAATGGATATTTGACTTTGGCACATATATGCTAAGGAACTAGAGCAATTTTTAAAAGGGAGAGTGTGCCTAATATGCATTACACTTATTCCTTTCTAAATTCATTTAAGTATATTTGGCCAGCATCTAAGTTCTTGAATTTTAAGGATTTTTATACTTCAACTAATTTGGAATGGCAGTAAAGAATAATTAGTATTTTACTTGCCACACTCCAATTTTAATATTAATTTGTATTCTGTCTCTGAAGAGACAAAAGACCAACCTTACTTGTGTGTGGTTCAGACTATCCATCTTGTAATGATTCTATAATGAGACAGATTTATATAACTGAATCTTTATACTAATTTTTGTCAAAAATCTTGAAATAACTGATTTTTAACTACATGATGGATCTCATGGATTTTCATTAGTAAATACTTGATTCCATTCAGATTCTGTTTTTCTAGAAATTTTCTGAAACTTGAAATTTTCTGAAGTTTACTCTTATTTGAAACAATCTTTGATTATAATAAAAATGATTGGAAGTTGGGCAGATTATAAACATCTAAAAATTTACTTAGCAGTTCAAAAGCATTGAAAACAATTTATGGGTAGGACAAAGTAAACCATGATCTAAAAGATTAACCAGAAAATACATGTGACCAGTGGTGTTTAATTTTATTTTCCCCTCTTTGTGGAATTTAAAAATGGAAAACATGTGTATTTTAGTGATTTTTAAAAACCACACACATACCACACGAGATCATAGACAGAGTTGCTATTTACGTATGGTTTGACACCTTTTAGATACCATTTTTTGGTTCTAAAACTATTAATCACAAAAAGTGACTGTTTCGCTGACATTGAGCAAGTAAATCTCAGTTTTAGGTTGGACAGCACTAGTGCAAAATCACTGCACTTCAGTGTGCTAAATGGTTTGTAACAAAACTGTGATCACTCCTGTGAGGAAATGAAATTCTAGTATGTTTAATGATGGAGCAGTCAAATGCTTATTATTTTATTATACAAAGAACCTCACCCACCAACTTCAACTTAGGAACAGGCAGAATTTTTTTTTTTTAAACAAACTGACAACCATGTTTTTGCTTATTATTTTTGAGATTTACTTCTTTTCCTCATCCATAAAAAGCAAGGACAAACTTCCTTTACGGTTTTTATTTTTTTCTTCATTATTCATTCAAACAAGTTTAAATAAAAGGTGATAAGGATAAACTTGTTTTTCCCTTTATGTATATCTTAGTTTGGAGAATGAAACTATAAACAAAAACTAGAAGAAAATAAAAACTGAAGCCATTATTTAATGACGACTATATGGAAGGCGAGAGGCTCATATTTTCACGTGAATTTCAATTTGTGTCTCCTCTAAGACAAGTCGTTCAGAAATATAAGGCAAGTCACATTCCTTTCAGGACACAATTTGTAAATGTGGAAATAGTAATAGTTGTCATGATTATTTTCTATTCTATATAAGGAGTGGCTGGGTCTAAAAACAGCCTGATGATTCACGTATCTAGGTAAGCAAATCAAGCTTTATAAACATATGACGAATTTTCAGTTGCTGGCATTGAAATGCTGGGTTTGGATATGGACAAATATGCTGTTTACCTTAAATCTTTTGGGTACCTTGTCTTTTAATGTTTTGTTCTGATATTCAAGCAGAAAGTACATGACTTCATCTTATGGAATAAGCTGATCTGAGTGGAAAATTTGTAGAGATGAAGGAAATTTTGAGTTTCATGTGTGTACATAAATGGCTTTATATAATAAATATACAGCCATTAAAAAGTTATACAGGGACAATGCAATTTAAAACTCTTCAAGTCCTGCTTACACATGGCCAAATCTAGTCCTTCTCATCTTTATCACTGATGACATAGCTGATTTACTTAAACTATACTGATACTATATATACTATATGAAGGATGATATAGCAGTATCAATCTAGGTGAAATAAACTTCTAGTAAATATTAGTCACATGGAATAAATTCAGCTCTGTGAAATTCTGTTTTATGTTTGCTGACAATTTTTTCCTTCTGCCCAGGGTCATTTTTAGTTTAGCATGAGTGCTACACTAGCTAGAATTCAATGCGTGAGTGTTTCTTTCATGGAGGTTTCAAGTTTGGAACCCTTTTCATCCAAAATATGTACCTATGCCTTTTAAAAAATGAAGAGTCAATATAATGAGCATGGGCTTTTTCTACCAGTTTTGCTTTCTAATCCATTTTCCCCCCAGTATTTCACTTTTATCCCTCATAATTTCATAACAAAGTATCCAGATTATGTCTTTTAGACTAACCAGGAACTTAAACCTCAAACACTATTCTGAAGAAGGGTGGAGTAAATAATTCTAGTAATCTGTAGAACAGCTGCATGCAGTGTGTACTGTATTATCACAGCACCAAACCCCTTATAAAAACCGAGCACTCCTTCCTCCTGCCTTATGGTATTGATACAGTCTCTCATTCCCTCGTACTGTGTGTTAATGGGAAGCACTTCATAGCCAAGGTCTGTATTGTCAATGATTGTGCGTGTTCCTTGAATGTGAAGGCGGTGCAGAACTGTTTCCAATGGGTAAAGTATAACATCAGAGCAAAGACTGGCAGCAAAGTTAGCAATAAGTTCTGGAAAATAAGCATCCAACATACTCTGCACCGGACTAGTGCTCTCAGCTAGACGGCTACTGTAAGTCTTTCTCTTTAGAATTAGGAGGACAAACTTCTGAATGACTGAGCTGATGATGTAATGAAGAACCCCGTGCAGCACCGTAGGGAAGATCAAGGAAAGAAGTGGGAGCAGTCGTTTGCTATGAGGCACTCCGAGGCCAATCACTCTTCCAATTCCTTCTTTTACACATTCCAAAATTCCAGTGTTATCGCGGATGATCTCACTCTGAAATAAAAATGATGAAACAGGTAAAAGTTAACACTTGCTTACCGTGCCCAAAGAAAGCACTCTTTTTAGGTCCCTTTTAAATCCTAATTTAGTTCTACTGAGAGAAAGTATCAATGGCTTGCACACTTCAAATGTTATCTAGGCATTAGATTCCTTTTTTTTTTTTTTTTTAAGATTTTGTTTATTTGAGAGAGAGAGCACAAGATGGGGGGAGGGTCAGAGAAGAAGCAGACTCCCTGCTGAGCAGGGAGCCGGAAGCGGAACTCGATCCTGGGACTCCAGGATCATGACCTGAGCTGAAGGCAGTTGCTTAACCAACTGAGCCACCCAGGCGCCCTCTCTTCTTTTTTGAAGCCACGATGACAAGAGATCCCTGAGTCAAATAGAAAATGCGTATCTCTTTTTTGTTAGCTATTCCCAAATTCTATTCTAAAAGGGTTGTACCAGTTGTATATCTACCAGAAATGCACCTGAGTGTCTGTTTCCTCATTATCCAGCTAAAAGATGTCACACTTTTTAATTTTCCTTAACTTCATGTGTGAGAAATAGTATCTCAGTGTAGTTTTAATTTGTGTATCAGTAACTATGAGTGAAGGTCAAAATTTTATCCATACTTAAAGGCCATTCTTATACCCTTTTTTAATGATTTTATTTATTTATTTATTTTAGAGAGAGAAAGAGCTCACAGGCAGGGGGAAGGGGCAGAGGGGGAGGCAGAGGGAGAGGGAGAGAGAATCTCAAGCAGACTGTGTGCTGAGTGCAGAGACCGATGTGGGGCTTGATTTCACCACCCTGAGATCGTGACCTGACCCAAAATCAAGAGTTGGTGGCTTAACCGACTGCGCCACCCAGGCGCCCCATTCCATCCATTCTTAAGAGTCTTTCATATATTTGGGATAGCAGCTTTATGTTGCCAATATTTTCTTCTAGTGTTTTGAACCTGTTTATGGGTTTTTTTTGTTTATTTGCTATGTAGGTTTAAAACTTTTTATTTAGTCACATTTATTAACCTTAAATTTATGGCCTGGATTTTTAATCATATTTAGAGAACTTTCCCCACACCCAGGTTATAAAGAAATTCACCAGTGTTTTTTTTTTTAAGTACTTATACTGTTTGATTCTTCCTTTATCCTTTTTTTCTTTTTTACATTTAGATTTTTGATTCATTTAGAGTTTATTCTTGAGAATCTCCGAGGTATGTATTTAACTTTTTTTTTCAAGCAGCAAAACTATTGTCCAGCACATTTTATTTAAAGAGTATCTCCCCCCTCCCTGCAGTAATATGCGATGCCACCTTTATCTTATGCTAAATTTTCATATGCACTTGGATCTATTTCTGGACTTTATATATTCTGCTTCTCTATTACTGCTTTGGCCCTACATTGTTTTAGTTACAGATATATTACAATATATTTTAATGTTTAGTAAGGTGACATTCCCTCAGAGTTTTCCATTTTGGTTTTGTCTTGGTTTGCAAATTTTTTTCATATGAACTTTAGTATTAACTTGTCAAGCTCCATAAAATCTTGTAGGTATTTTTATTGGGATTGCATCACCTTTAGAAATCATTTAGGAAGAACTGACATCTTTACAATGTTGAGTCATCCTATCCAAGAACAGAAATCTTTCCATTTCTTCAAATATACTTTTGTATCTTTCAGGAGTGGTTTAAAATTTTTCTTTAAAAAATTTTTCTTTTGCATATTTTTTGTTAATTTTGTTCTTAAGTATTTAATCTTCTTTGTTGCTATTGAAAGAGGGATTTTTCTCCCTGTCATTATGTCCTATTATTTGAATGTATAAAGGTAAATAATTTCTGTATATTAATTTTTATCGAACTGAATACCTTACTAAAATTTTTAAGTTTTATTATTGATATGTTAGGGTTTTCTAGGCAAACAAAAATTTCATCTGCAAATAGGGATAGTTTTAGGTCCTTTAAACCAATTTTTATGTCTCTAATTGATTTCTCTTGTCTTTTTGCATCGGCTAATAGCAGCAGTACAAGGTAGAATGGGGTCAAGATTGTGGGCATTTTTGCCTTGTTCTTAATCTGAGTGGAAATATCTCTAGGGTTTATTTATTAAGTTTAACTTGGTTTTATATATTTAATCATGTTAAGAGAGTATCCATCAAGTCCTTTTTTCTTGTTTTTTTTTTTTTGTTGTTGTTGTTAGAAATGGGTCTTGATTTCTGTCAAAGGATTTTTCAACATGTATGGAGATAATCGCATGTTTTATTCCTTAGATTTATTAATAGGGTGTATTATGTTAATGGTTTTCTAATACTGAACAATCCTGCATTCATGTAATAAATTCCACTTGATCATGGCATGCTATTTCTTTCACGTGGTGTTTTATCCTCTGCTAATATTTTATTAAATATTTTGTGTCAATACTCATAAGTGGTATTGGTTTATAATTTTTTGTACTATCAAGTTCAGTTATATCTGTTACATAAAAATAATTAGGAAGTTTTCCTTCACCTTTAGTGCTCTGGAACAATTTATGGAGCATTGTGACTACCTCTGGTCTTAGAGCAGCATTTCTTAGAATTCGTTTGTGAAGCCATCTGCCTGTGCTTCTGTGGGATAGTTGCTTGATACCTTTTCAGTTTCCTCTACTAAAATTAGTCGGCTTAAGTTTCCATTTTCAAACACTGTTGCTTTTGTTAATCTGTATTTCACTAGTTATTCAGTTTATGTAGGTTTTCAAATATATTTGCATAGAACCCTGCAAACTGGCCTCTTGTACTTTCTAAAAGTTTCTCCATATCACTCTTAGCCTTTTATTTCTTATTTTGTATATTTGTGCTTCACCTTTTGCTTCTTGTTCAAATTTTCTTGTAGTTTGTCTATTTTGTTAATCTCAAAATTCTATCTAAACTATTTCTTTTCTCTACCTCGAATATTTTGCTTTATCTAAATTATGATTTCCCTTTAATGCTTTCTTTTCATTTACTTTGTTTTTTTAAGCTTGAAATTTTATTTTATTTTAATTCTTTGATTTAATTGATAGAAGTATGTAGAACTATGAATTTTCCTCTGCCGCTGTTTTAAATGTATCCCATAGATTTTGATATTTGGTATTTTGTTATTATTTCAGATTTTATTTCCTCTTTTACCCAGAGCTATTTAGTAGAAAATTTTATTAATTTTAGGTGAAAGGGTCTTTAAAATTTTTTAAAAATAATTTCTAGTTTTATTGCATGGTGGTTAGAAAATATTGTTTATAATATTTATGCATTATAGAATTTACAGACGTTGACTTTGTAACCTAATATATGATCAGTATTTTGTAAACATTAAGTCAATATATTTTGCTCCAATGGTATATTTAGAAGATCTATTCTCTAGTATCAGGATATAACATTTGATATATATCCATAAAATCTGCACGATTGTCTATGTTGTTTAGATCTTTAACATCAATACTTATTTTGTTCACTTTATCTGTAGCATACTGAGAATGACATGTTAAAATTTGGTATCCTTAGCTATATCTGTTTTTTTGCATCTTGACTACATTTTTTTTACTACTTTTTGCTTTATAAAGGTGGTTTCTGTTATTTGTTGCATAGATATTCATAATGTCATATGTTTTTTGTGACTTTTGACTCAACAATTAAACGTGCCCTTCTATGCATGAATTTATTCTGGTATAAATAAACAACTAAGAAGAAAAGATTACACTTACAATTTTCCAATTAATAAATTTAAAAGGAAATGTAGAAATAGAATCACCGCTGGGTACATATCATAGTAACAATTTTTGTAGGCAGGATACACCATTGAATATTAAAATTAGCGAGTAAAAATCTCAGAGTAAATAGAATTTGCATAGTTTCAAAGTTATCTCTCTCAAGATACTTACATTAAATACAAAGGAAAATATAGTAACTTTACAGAGGAGAAACTCAGCAGACACCATCTGAATCAAGTAAATAAGGATAACATCACCAGTAATAAGACATGGTGACATAAATCCCTTGATAAGAAGAAAGGCACAGTACCATTTTTTATGAGATTCTTGCCAAAAACTCACGACCTCATTTCAATCATGAGAAAACATAAGACCAATCCAAGTTAAGGGACAAGCTACAAAATAACTGATCAGTACTCTTCAAAAGTGTCAAGATCATAAAGACAAAAAAAAAAAAGAAAGAAAGAAAGAAAGAAAGACTAAAATTTTTACAACTAAATGCACTGTGAAACACTGGATAGTATCCTGGAGCAGGAAAAGGACATTAGTGGAAAAAAATGGTGGAATTCAAATAAAGTCTGTAGTTTAGTTAATAACACATTTCCAATGTTAATTATCTGTTCTTGTTAATTTTACCATGGTTATATAAAATATTAACATTAGAGAAAGCACTTTGAGGGATAAAAGGCAACTATTTGTATTTTTTTAATTAAAAGACTTTTTTTAACAACAGTTTTAGGTTTATCAAAAAAATGAGCAAGTGGTAGAGAGGCTTCTCATATACTTACTTCTCTTCCTCTCTGCCACAATTTCCCCTGTTAACTTGCATAAGTGTGGTACATTTGATATAATTAATGAACTGATATTGATGCATTACTATTAACTAAAGTCCATATTTTACATTAACTTTTGCTTTTTGTGTTGTACAGCTTGTAGGTTTCGACAAATACATAACGTAATGCATCCACCATTACAGTATCATACAGAATAATTTCACTGCTTTAAAAATCCCCTGTTCTCCACCTATTCATCCCTCCCTCTCCTCCATTCTCCGTCCTCTGGAAACCACTGATCCTTTTAGTGTCTCTGCAGTTTTGCCTTTTTAGGATGTCATATCGTTTCAATCATATAATATGTAGTCTTTCAGACTGGTTTCTTTCACTTAACAACAAACATCTAAGTCTCTTCATTGTCTTTTTGTGTCTTATTACCTCATTTCTTTTTATCCTGAATCATATTCTGTGGTATGGATATATCACAGTTTGTTTATCCATTCACTTATTGAAGAACATTTCTATTGCTTCCAATTTTTGGCAACTATGAGTAAAACCTCTATAAACATTTGTGTGCAGGTGCTTCTGTGGACATAGGTTTTCATCTCAGTTGGGTAAATATCTAGCAGCTTTATTCCTTGACTGTATGGTACAAGTATGTTTAGTTGTGTAAGAACATATTCCCACCAGCAATGAACGAGAGTTCCTGTTGTTCTACAACCGCACCAGCATTCAGTATTGTTAGTGATTTGGATTTTAGCTCTTCTAATAGTTACATAGTATTATCTTACTGTTTTAGTTTGCAATCTCTAATGACCTATGATGTTTAGCATTTTTTATATGCTTTTTTTGCTATCTATATGTCTTGTTTGTCAATCTATGAGACGTCTGTGAATCTCTCCAGATCTTTTGCCCAATTATTAATTACTTTTACTTTTTTTTACTTTTAATTACTTTTAAGTGAGTTGTTTACTTTTTTTATTATTGAGTTTTAAATGTTCTTTGTGTATTTTAGATACAAGTCCTTAATCAGATACATGTTAAGGACATATTTTCTCCCAGTCTGTGGCTTGTTTTTACCTTATCTTTTGAAGGTGAATATTTATTTATTTATTTCATTTTTTAAAAGATTTTATTTATTTATTTGACAGAGAGAAGAGAGTACAAATAGGGGAAGCAGCAGGCAGAGGGAGAGAGAGAAGCAGACTCCCTGCTGAGCAGGGAGCCTGATGTGGGGCTCGATCCCAGGACCCTGGGATCATGACCCGAGATAAAGGCAGACGCTTAACTGACTGAGCCACCAAGGCACCCCTGAAGATAAATATTTAAATAAAGAATAAAAATCAGCAAAGTTATCAAATGTTGCCCTCTTTGGCTACACTGTGTACATAGATACATGTCACTGTAAATATTCTGATTTTATTTTAAGTGGGGTTAGATATTTTTACAGAGCCATCATCAACAGAGTATTTTTGTTCCCTGGGAAAGAACTTAATTTAGCTTCAGGATGTAATTCAAGAAAATGCTACATCCAAAGTTATATAACAGACAATTTTTCTGTTTACTTTGGCCTTTGGTTATAAAAGACTGGGAATGATGTCATTGTTATGGACTTTTCAGTAGGAATTATGGCAAATGTTGTAACTGAGAATGAATCTCTTCTATTATCCAAAGCTTGGTGATGCCCAGTTTATCTTTTCCCCAAGATCCAGGCCATGTTTTCTGTCTGGCTCAGAATGACTTCAGCTAGCCCAAAGAAGTCATCTGCTCACTAGTTGCAGCACATCACAGGTCTTTTTAAAGACATAAAATGTACTTGGGGCCCTACATTTCCATTGTTGGATGCAGGAGTCTTGCGACTACATCAGTAATTTAAAGAAGTTGGCATTTCAAACACATAATTTCCGTGAGCACTGGGTGCTGGAGGGAGGCATGGAAAATTTTCCCCTGTCAACGGGTTAGCTCAGATGAACAAGATTTCATAACAGCCAAATACAGGCTTTGTTCAACACCGTTTATATTTTTGTTTAAAAACAGTTTCAGTCAGATTCCAGTAGAATCTGATTTGGGGGTAAAGAGATTCTCTAAGTAGTCTTAACAGTCTAGGTTTGTTCTGAGGCTCTGAGCCATTCTGCAAGATAGCTCTGTAGATAGGCTCCAGCCTCAGGAGTTGGATTTCAGGCTGGCGGTTATAGGAGTTCCAAACTTATTTCCTAGATATGAGAATTTGAGATTATCAAAAGGGCCTCTTCTATGCTGTAAATCATGATTTTAACAAGCTATTTGCTTATAGTAAATACAGTTTGTATTTTTCAATACTTAGATGTACCCAAAAATGTTCTAGGTGCTGGAGCAGAATGGAGTGGTGAATTTATTTCGAACCTTAAGAAGGCTGTTTGGGAGGTAATATGAGTAAAAGTCTGTAATTAGCCTGCCGGAGGTTCTGCTATTTCAGATGCTTGCTAGGTATGTGACTTTCATCAAGTCATGAATATTTTTAAGCTTCAGTTTTCTTTTATTTAAAATGAGATAACAGGGGTGCCTAGTTGACTCCATAGGTA